TCGAAGCAGTGTTAACAACAGGTGAGCTTCCATCAACTACTAAATTAACCAAATTAGCCACTGGCTGCTGTTCCCTACTAACTCAAAGAACGGCTTGACTTTTTAAAGAGAGGAACAGGCTAGAAATATATTAATATAGCAAGTTCTGCAGAAATGCAGAATTAGGTAACCCAAAATGCATTTTGTTTTACATTGCATTTACATTCATGCATTTGCCAGATGCTTTTATTCAAAGCAACTTGTTGAATTGCCTTTAAAGTACACATTTTACTGAGTTATCCATAGCCTGGGAATCAAAACCATTATTTCAGCATTCTAGCACTTTGCTCTACTGATTGAGAATGTATTGTAAAAAAAAAAAAAATGAAGCTTTAATGATTTTAATGTGATTGATTATCAACTAATTATGTACCTTCCTTGTAGGTGTGTTCAGATGTAGTAGCCTATATAACGTTTTTATTAACATCAAAGTGCATACAGCACCAGATGGAATTCTGGAAAGAAGGTGCAAAGAAAAAGCATCAGCCTGAAGCCCCCCCCACACCCCACTCCACCCCCACTGAATGGTGGTTCTCATCGGAGAGCTTGTCAAATTTGACTGGCAAAATTACTGAAATTTAACACAACTACAAAAAACTAATTTTTACTGTATTATTTTATTTTATTTTTATTTTTTTTGCTTTTCAGTATGTGTATGTTTTGCCATGATACAAAGTCCCCAGGGGACTGTGGTGATGCCTTTTCAGCTATAGTGCATCCTAGAGGTCAAGATTTGTAATACTTTTAAAAAGAAAATGTTCAACAATTAAAAAGAATATTATCAATACTAATGCTCATGAGTTATTGTGATTTTTATGGGATTGGGGTGGTAAAAAACATGGATTACAGTACCACAACTGGATTGTTTTTAAAAAATGTTTAAACTAAATGAAAATAAACTCAGCAGTACTAATACGGTAATAATACAGTAAATGAAAATACAGCAATAATACTGTAAACAATTTGAAAAATTTACAGCAATCTCTTCACAGTATAATATACTATACTATAATATAAGTATGAAATAGAGATAGCATTAACAATGTCCTGGTCTCATACCACATATGGAAATATTGCATTTTATTAAGATGAAAATAAAAAACCATGTAAATTTGATATATTGCATCCAATGCTCCGTACTTTAATCCACCCCACAATATCAGTTCAATATTCTACTAGGATCATAAAAAACTCCTGTGGATTGATAAACTCTGAGAAGTCTGAGGCCCAACATTAAGTGCACTGTGTGTCAGTAAATAAATAAATAAATCAACTCCAATAACAATGATGAGCTCAAAAGTGAAGGCATAACATTTCTGGAAGTAATTTTAAAACGTAGACTGAGTGGTAGGGTCATGTAGTCATTACAGTGAAAGGCCATGACTCAAACTAATCTCAAACTGAACTCATGGCACATGACAATCCTAAACTCACATTTACAGCTGAAACTGTGACAGAACGTAAAGAAAAAAAAAGATTATTCTGAAATGGATAACATTCTGCCTGGTTGACATTGTCATTTAATTTATTCTCTTTACAGCAGCACAGTTGTGGGAGAAAGTAAGTGAACTCTTTGAATTCACCTGGAGTCCTTGCACAAACTGGTCAAAAATAGTATCTGATATTCAAGTTACAATATAAACAACACATTTAAACATTCACAGTAGTGCTGTGTTCAAAATATCGATACGACGATATATCGTCACATTTGACGATACGAGTATCGATACAGCTGGCCCTGTATCGATATTGTGGCACGTGTGCAGCAGTGGACCGCGC